CCATCGTCGTTCCGAACCTTTCCCGAAACATCATCTCTCTCTCTCTCTCTCTCTCTCTCTCTCTCTCTCTCTCTCTCTCCCTCCCTCCCTCCCGCTTTTTTTAGTAGCTTTAGTAGCGCAATCAAAATTCCAGAAGTCAGTATCTCAAAAGTTGGTACGCCTGTATTTTTGTTTGTTTGTTACTTTGACAGAAAGTTCTACTTTTCCTTTCAAAGGAAGTTTTCTCCTGCTTTTGGTTTGTTTGATTCATTTGATTGATATATTTTCAGGCTTGCCAACCTTCCCGAATTTTTCGGGAAATCGAACCTTTCCCGAAACAGCATATCTCTCTCTCTCTCTCTCTTTTTTTTTTTCTCCTCTTGTTTGTTTGAGCTGTTTTTGTGGTGTGGGTGTTCTTTTTTTAGTAGCTTTAGTAGCCTATCACAGAATTGTGTGTTCGTGGCGCCCTGGCGCAATCAAAATTCCAGAAGTCAGTATCTCAAAAGTTGGTACGCCTGTATTTTTGATAGTTTGTTACTTTGACAGAAAGTCTTACTTTTCCTTTCAAAGGAAGTTTTCTCCTGCTTTTGGTTTGGTTTTTTTGGATTGATTTGATTGATATATTTTTTTGTTTTTCGTTTGTTACTTGGACAGAAAGTTCTACTTTTCCTCTCATAGGAAGTTTTCTCATGCTTTTGAAATGTTTGATTGATTGATATGATTGATATATTTTTTTCTTTCTTTGTTACTTTGACAGAAAGTTCTACTTTTCCTTTCCTGTCATAGGAAGTTTTCTCATGCTTTTGGTTTGTTTGATTGATTTGATTGATATATTTTCAGGCTTGCCAACCTTCCAGAATTTTTCGGGAAATCGAACCTTTCCCGAAACAGCATCTCTCTCTCTCTCTCTCTCTCTCTCTCTCTCTCTCTTTCTCCACTTGTTTGTGTGAGCTGTTTTTTGTGGTGTGGGTGTTTTTTTTTTAGTAGCTTTAGTAGCCTATCACAGAAGTGTGTGTCCGTGGTGCCCTGGCGCAATCAAAATTCCAGAAGTCAGTATCTCAAAAGTTGGTACGCCTGTATTTTTGTTTGTTTGTTACTTTGACAGAAAGTCTTACTTTTCCTTTCATAGGAAGTTTTCTCCTGCTTTTGGTTTTGTTTTTTTTGATTGATTTGATTGATATATTTTTTTGTTTTTCGTTTGTTACTTTGACAGAAAGTTCTACTTTTCCTCTCATAGGAAGTTTTCTCGTGCTTTTGATTTGTTTGATTGATTGATTTGATTGATGTTTTTTT